AATGTCTTCTTTCAAGAGGGGAAAAGCCATCTGATCTTTTAGACGTGTTTATTGAGCGGCTCTTGAAAGGGACAGAAATCATTTGACATCTAAAAATTGATTTTGTGACTTCTTATTTTCATGCTGAGCAGACTGTGATGGTTTGAAGTAATGAGAGAAGCTCAAAAACTTGAGTGGGCTCTCCACCTCAAAGACGCGAGAAGCTGGTGTTTATTTCCTACACAGCTACATTTGCATACACACACACACAGAGACAGCTTTATGCACTCACATACACAATACAGGTGTTTGTTCATAGCTAACATACAAATAAAAGTCTGAGTCCATCTATTTTCTTCTGTTTATCTAGTTCAGGGCCATGGGGTGGCTGGAGTCTATCCCAGCTGTCATTGGGTAAAAGGTGGGGTACACCCCAGGCAGGTCACTGGTCTGTGTCACGCTGCTTACCAAGAGAGTTTATTTCTGTGCACACTTAAGCAAACATGCATTTTTTTTTATGCCTTTGGGATCTAGCTTTTTGATTATTCTTTTTATGGGTTCTATTTTATCTTTTTATTATTATTTTTATTTTTAGGGTGGGATACATCTCCAGTCTTCAGCACACGTCCAGTCTCGTATTAATTCACTATGAGTCACCGGCACAGAGATTCATTTACATCTTCCGCTAGTAGTTTAGTCAGATTGTGTTTATGACTTAGGAGAAGATTCGACTCATTTCATGATGAAATTCATTGAGAAATGCGGCCCATCCAAAGGTTCACTTCATGGGGAATAACAGGGAGGTATTTTAAAATAAAAAATCTTTTTTTTGATGTGTGGTCAAGCCACACGGTACAAGAGGAACACGCGCTCATTTATGCTTGAATAAGTTGGTCTCCCACTATCCAATTCCAACTCCTGGAGCAGCACGCAATTTTGTTCTAGTAATTATTTCTGAACAAATTAGTTTTCCATAGTTGCCTTTAATGTGTCTGAATCAGGCAAAACTGGATATAGAGGCAGTTTAGGAGTCTCTTGGTATTTACAGAGTGTAAAAACCTGTATTTAATCGAGTGGATCAATAAGTGCTCTAATGCACTGTCAGAAGGCCTGGAGAAATGAGCAATTTATTCACCAAACATTGTTAGACATTTAGCTGAGCCTAGTTTTTGAGCCTTGTATCATTTAGTCTGTGTGATGAAGTTATAAATTTAGATCTTTAGAAATAAAAGCATGGGTTTCCTCATAAATTCAACCTCGGGGGGTGTTTAAATAAAAAAACGAAATCCTGTCTAGAGTTTTGTTACTGCAGTGTCGTACATTTTAAGACGAAGGCTTTTATTTTTAAGAAAAGTTTCTTTATTTTTGATTCCGATCAAATGAGGTGGCGTGTTAGTAAGTCAAAAAATTGGATTTGTGTTTTTTTCCTCCTTTTCAAGATCCGCCTTGTTGTTGTCATCATGTGTTTAGCTCGTTCGGTGTCGGAGTGTCACCTGGGAAACCGCCACAGCGAGCACGCTCTTCTAAAACCTCAACACTGTTTGCGACAGTCACTTTGCATCCCAGCACATCTCGATCACCTGGAGGGCAGGAATGAAGTGCAGCTCTGAAAATTAGCATTAGTGGATCTTTTACCCTCATTCTCCTCAAATGAGAGCGAGGCCATTAACATTTGTGTGTTTTCATTATGTAAATGGTGTTAACACATACTCACAAATTGCCAACAGGAAAGCAATAATTTTCTCCCAGTGATCATAATGTGTCCAAGTGCATCGTCTTGATTATGACACGCTAATTACATATTGCCTAGTCTCTCTCTCTCTCCCTCTCTCACCCTACAGATTCAGAAAAACCAAGGATCTTTAATGGTAAGTTTTATTGCAGTGGAATAAGAAGCTAGAGGTCTACAACTCTGAAGTCTGTTACTCTTGGTTGACTCTCTCATTTGAAATAATAATAAAAAAAAGCCCATCAAATTCCATTTTTGCAGAAAAATATTGGATCATGCTTAAACTGCTAGTATTACATTAGGTGCCATTATGGAATAATAAAAACATTCAGAAGCTGAATGGTGGTTTGCCTGAGCTCACTGAATTTGATTAATCTAGGTAGATACTTTTTTTTTTTTTTAATATCACACTATTGATTTTCTCCATTGCCAAGAAATTCCATGTAAGCTAACATGTTTTTTTCTCCCTGTGCTTCTCCTTTTCCAGCCTCTCCAGTTACTGCAATGCATTGTTGATGAGGTGAGTCGTCGTCTTATGTGCTTTTGCATCTAAAGTCAGCCCTAATGGCCCGGAAAGCTTATATTTTGTTTCCTAATGAAGCAAACCACTCAGGCGGCTTTGCTCCCCATTCACTCAACCCTTCACCCTACACGACTGCCTCAGGCAATACACATATGCACATGCACATTACTGTAGAGGTTGGACCTGTCATGAGTAACACGTACACACAAAGCGCAGCTCTCAATTCTGTGTACTAGTGTATGCAAAAATGTGTTTAACCAGGCTTTCTCTCCTTACTGCACTGGGTTTTTTTATTGTGTCTTAAAAAAAAAGTCAGAGAAGACTCACAGGAGCATCAAACCAAAGACTCATAGGACTGATAATGATGCGCGCACACTGCAGACCACAGCGACTGATTAGCCATCCAATAAAGTTTTATTTAATTTTGTAATTTGCGTAGAAGCAAAAGGATGTCAAAGATGAAAAAGACATAATAATGACTTTATAAGAATTTATTTAAGCCAACGGATCAATCTCCTCAGTGACAGCGTTCAGGTACCCGTTCTCATCTAATTTCTTTATGCTCTAAGACTTTCCATTTTCTAATACAAAATGCAAGCTTGGACAAAATATCATAGTGAAACCAAACCTTGTTCAAGTCAATCTTGAACAGTTTCTTGATACATTGAGATGCTGCTGTGCACAAAAATATGCATTATATAGAAGCTCACTCTGTGTGCATTTACATCATAAGCAGGAATAATAATCTCCCCTCCCCTCTTCTTCTTTTAAGCTGGCTTCTTTGCTGAACAGTCAAAATGGCTACACAGCATAAAGCATTCCTGCAATGCCCCCATCACCAGCTATATCGCACATTAAACATACAATGTCACTTGTCCTTAACTGCCTATAGATTGGCCGTAATTAATAATTAAATGCTTTCGGTTGTAATGGATTGACCTGGGCTGAACTGTTCATTAGTCAGCTAGACGTAGCCATCACTCAAACTATTTTTCTGTGCCCTTTCTCGTCTCCCCCTTGAGGGAAGAGAGCTCTCATTGTTGTCCGTGCCGTACCGTCCCAGCTAGTGCAGTGCTTTGGAGGAAGAGACAAGAGGATAACCTCTCTCTGGACAGTTGACGCTGCATAGATGAACTCTATCTGTTCCCACTTACGCCCGATTTAGACTTGTGCATTGAGTCTCGGCAGAGCCGATGACATAAGCTACATAAAGTGGCTGACATTGTTGCCAGCGTTTATGGCTGTATGTGGTGCATTATGTGTTAATTATGTGTTTTACATGCAGTGCCAGCCGATAGAAACAAATGAAATGCCTCGACTTTCTTCCCTCCGGGGTCCTCGCTCTTTGTTGTTTTCTTTTTTTCCAAAGGAAAACACATTTATGCATCAAGTTTGTACATTCAGATAGTTTCAGCTCCCTCTCCCTCCAGGAATTTACAGATTTTTTTTGAGTGCTTATGTTGTTACTATCATTATTGTTTCTTATATTGAGGCAATGATTGTCCTGTTCAAAAACTGCCAAAAAACTCACCAGAAATGAACAGGGGGAGGACTCGACGGTTGTGAACAGGCCAGGTGCACATCAGGTTACACTGTAGGTTACGTTGTAGAGTTTTAGAGCTATTCGCGGTTACGGTTTACCTACAGTGTAGATCTCCCACTGAAGAATAAATTCCCACTTGGATGTTTAGAGTCTGGCACAACTTGTATAAACCCTTTTTTATTTTTGTTTAAACCCAAATAACTGGGCTGGGACACGTCACATGGAGCAGCTACTCTAATACAAAGGTATTTTTAATTAGTTTAGACACACCTGACTCAACACTATGGCAGGTGTGATAAATTACACCTGACTCCCTGGCATTTTGTAAATATTGCTCATTACTATATTCTGTACTGTACATGTGAGCCTTTTTTGGATATTGTATGTGACTTAACCCACTGGGAAATTGAAAGTTGCTTTATTGGCTGAATGAATGTGCTCTTGTGAGTGGAGCTTTTAATATTGGGTACAAATGTGTGTGGTTTGGCTTCCATTTCTTTCATTTTGAACCTAAATTGAGGTATGCCCTCAACATATAGGCCAAATAAACAAATGATCAAAATTCAAATTGCTGATTACCGCTGATTCTGTAGTGTGGTGGTTTACACATTTATCCAACACACAAAAGATTTGCTCCCCAGGAGGAGATGCAAATCTCCGGGAAGGTTGCGTGAGGAAGTAGCATGCGGTATAAACATTTTCCAGATCATAAATCTGCTGTCTGAATAAGGGAGCAGCTGAAAGAAGGATTTACTTACACAGAATAGTAGAGGTAGTAAGAACTGTGGTTTCAGCTCAAGTAAAGGAGTTTATTTATTTAGACAAGAAAATGGTTTTGACATTCATGAACAAAGAACATGTAGTCGTTGTTGACAGCTTACACAGTTAATTTGCCAGCATTAGAGAAAACACATTTTTGACTTGCCTGACATAACATTACATCACCTCCACTTTATCTTGATTTTATTTATAAGGTTGTTTTAATGCTTTAAAAAAAAATTAGCTTGATTTTGGTCAATATTTGGAAAACGCCAAAATTTTCCATAACCCAACAGCTATAAAACACTCGAGGCTGAATCTCATTAGTAACACACTGAATAGCTCTTTCTAAGGACTGTTAGTGTTCACTCTCAAAATGACACATTTGTATGTAAGACACTTAAAGGGGCATTTGCACTTCTGCACTGAATCTATGCTGCATTCATGCCATAAATACAAACCTTTCCGATCATCAGCAAAAGTATAAATACCAGTATAAGTAAATTATAAAATTGGGTATAATTCATATTGATCCTGAAGAGTGGTTCTATATACGTGTATACTGCTCAAAGAGGAATCAAGGGAACACTTGAAAAATCTTAACTTTGATGTTTGATCTGATTTCTGAATCCAGCCCTCAGAGCTGTGATGATTTTGTTTTCCACTGATGTTTCATCACTTCATGCTGATCGGATTGCACAATGCATGTCAGTCCTCCACTTAAATGCATCGTACTTGCATCTTTGGAAATCCTTGTTATGAGTGCATGCTAGAGAAACGGCATGCTCACCCTGCTCAGGCAGGGTCTTGAATTAGAAGTTCTCTGCAGTTGTTTCCACCATCTGTAAGCTGTCCTCCCTCATTAATGCGCCTCTCTCCTCTGTTTGTTGAATAGCAAGTGGCTCCACTAATAAAGAACTCCCACTTTATTTTCAAGCCTGTAATTACTGATCTAATTTTGCCTAATAATTGCTTCATGGCAATGACATGTATATTTACTTGTACCCTTGTACCCTCGTAGTGTGTGTTCTGTCTCCTAGTGGTGCACATTGACAACCAGAGGACTAATTCACGCAGACTAGCCACTTTCATCAGCCTGCCTGTCTTTTGTGCCATCGCCTGCTGCCACATCAAAGCTGCAGCAGTGTTCCTCTCAGGTGGAAACATGAATACATGCATAAATGTGCATGTTTATATCTGCATGCAGATTTGTTTGAAAAGTGCAGACAGGAATTTTGCATCAGATTTAGCCTACATGACACATACATTAGTTGTATAGTCAAGACTTTATGTGTGCGGTGCACCTAATTGATTGTTGCTTTGTGTTTGTGTGTACACCAAAATATAGCGATAGCAAATTATTTGGTGCTCTGTCTCTGTAAACAGTGTATACTAACGTTTGTGGGTTTTCGTGCTCAAGGGCATTTGTTTGTGCACGTGTGTTTTTGTGTGTGCGCTATGATATATTGCTCATCCAAGCAGCGGCAGAACTGTGAAGTGCACTGAGATTAGAAGGAATCCATTCCTTTGTTAATTTAAATGGGTTCATGCATCATGCTTTGCGGGAGCCTGCCGATCAGAGCATTAAGGAATGGCGAACACTGCCCAGAGGTGTTTTTAATGGCACAGCAGGGTCTCGGATGTAAAGAGGTTTAATTCTTTGCATTTGAATGAATGCGTGGTCTTGAACCTGGGCTGTATGAGTTTTGTGCATATCTGAGTAGTTGCTTTATTTCATTTTTTAAGACCTCTTTGCATCATCTCTGTATGACGCCGCACTACATGTTTTTAAAACTTGACCTACACCTGCGGCATCTACCGATCTTATTATATCCAAGCACAACACATTTTGTGTATGTAAAATTTTAGAGTTACAGATAACAGCATCTTCCAAATGTATATACAACAACTGCTTGCTGGTATTGTTGGAAACAAAGTAAATACAGATGTTAATTTAGTAAGGTTGCTGCTGTAAAGTGGTTCAGACTTTTCCTCCAAGTATTTCATGTGTAAAAATAATAATATACTGTGTTGGGAGGTTTTTGTGCCAGCAGCCAAAGGCAGGGATAAAGCAAGAGTGGGAAAGTGGATGGAGTAATGAGGTGAAGGGCTGTAATGGAGGGTCAGTCGGGCACAGCTGTTCTACATGACACGGTTCATAGAACTTCGATTGACAACAGGCAGCGGGCCTGACACACTCAGACACACACACAGAGGGATACACACTTAGATGGCTTCAAAGTTTTTGACACCCTGTAACATTAACATAACGTTAACTCGATCTTAAATGCATCCTTATACTAATCCTAAAGCATGTCTTTGCTTTTGCTATTGATTATCTCAGTGTAGGTAGAAGATTCATAGGAAATGATATGTTTGAAAAATGGGTAAATAAAGCTCAGACTCTTTATTAAAGACTAATGTAGCCACCTTACGTGACCTATTGGTTTGTTAAGTTTTGTTTTGTAGCCTTAGGCTTAGCATTTTTCTCACCACTGTGTTGCTTTTTTTCAAGCTTGATCGGGTTTAGTTAGGAAACTGCATCTATCGGCTGCAATGCACAAACACACATATTTGCTAATTATTCGTGCACTACTAGTTTCACCTCCGAACCCCACACAGCAAGCCATAATATTTCCCAGATAGCACCATTAAAATGCTCCCAAGTAACGAAAAACGCCACACGCACCTTGAAGAGGCTTCATCTCTGCTGACTTTGTGTCATCATCCACCTGTCAGTGAAAGTGGTGTTCTCCTAACTTTAGTCCTTGATCAAACATGTGAGTTATTGAGAAAAAAGAAATCACCACTATACAGTTGTGATGAAGAGGTAACTTGGCTATAGAGACCAGGCTGCTTTAAAGACGACTGTTTTATCAGCCTGTGTGGACTGATTCAGTTTTGTAACAGCTGCAGTTTAGGACACTTATGTGTTTTTTGCATTTTCCAGCCTTGGAGCTTACTGCTTTTAAAGGTGTGTTTAATATCTAAGAATTAAATTAAAAGGGATGTCAAAACATCAAAAGAAGTTTTAGAAAATGTTTGAAGTTAAAAGATTCAAAGATGTTAGATGACATGAGTAATAACCAAAGTGGGTTTTTTTTTTTTGATTAAATAGCAATAATAACACTTCCCAGGTCTACAAAATCCACATTCATATTTTGTATTTAAGAACAAAGTAAAATGAGTTCAGGGACTACTTGGCCACTTTTTCTTTCTATTTGTCTTTATTTTAGCTTCTTATTTATCTTTTAAGTTACATATTTCCCTGGAACAAAAACCTGCAATGATAAAAGTGAGGTGAACTGCACAAAAGATTTGTGTACACTTTCTCTAAAGTAAAGGAGTGCAAAAAACCACAATGTCAAAAATACTGAATAATCTTTCAGATATTTCTCCTGCATAAATTGAATGCTACAAATTTAACATCCTGGTAGCTTCAAAGAGCTTCGTTACCATAACACCTTTGTGTCTGTGTGCACCTTTAGATATCTGCTAATATAATAAAATATAATAACATTTTTGTATTCTATCAGCACCGTAACACACTCCTTTTACTCTTATACTTTAAAGTGGGTTTAAATAGTCCATTTTTCCCCACCAGGCTGACTTTAAACATACTGTGTGCCAGCAGGTACCTCCACAGCTGTTCACCTGGCAGGCACAAGGAAAATAAAAAGTAGAAAAAGTTTTTGCTTTGCATCATTTGGTTGTTTTAGTAACCATCAAACAGAATTTCTGTCCTGTTAAGAGCACTCGTTTTCAAAAGGTGACTCTTAATTAGTTGTGTGCGTTGTGCTGAGGGCTCCACACCAAATATACAGCTGTTTCCTTTAAAGGTTTTTCCCTTTGGTCTGATGATCTTTTCATTGACATCCAAATCTTCTCTTATTCCACCTCTTTCTGTGCTGGACTGCTTACAATTAAAGAACATGATCCAGGGATGTTGGCATCTAATAAGCGCTCCCTGCATCGACACCTGACCATGTGCCTGCCAATCACAGCTGGTCCTTGCACTGTGCAGCTTAAAGTTTCCCAGACTAGTCTGGATGAGTAACATTGCATTAAACACAGATGTACAACTACTTTCAGATGTTTGGCCCAGCAGAAGAGCTTGTCCCTCAAAGCAGAAAAAGGGCCAATTTACTGGACAAGAGACGCGTTATCCTCTCAAAACCTGCAGTAAATGCAACGAGCCACAGGAGAAATGAAGCGGCATCAAGTGTCACCTCCATCATGCAGGCGCAGTGAATGGCGTGAAAGATTTTATATTTTGCTTCTAGGAGATGCACTTAGGTGAAAAATATCTGGCAGACCTTATTCATGTATATGAATGCAGCAGTGCCATGTTGATTTAATTTTTAATTACTTTTTGGAAATCGTTTTTTTAATTAGATCTTTTATTTTCTGTTGAGGAGAAGCCCTGAGTTTAGGTTCATGAATAGGATCTGATTTGTTTTGAAAGCAGTGTTGTGTTAACATGAATCTGCACGAAAACATTTTTGGTACTAAAATCAGTGAATAATGATGACAAACAATCTCAATAATCTTGTAGTCCTAAGTATGATGACTTGATCTCATTCAGCTAGAGCAGCGGTGCCCAACCCCCGGGCCACGGACCCATTTGGTACCGGGCCGCAAGAGTTGAGGCTCGGGTGTGAAATTTATTGTTTTTACGTTTTTTTTACTGTTACTTTTTAACGTTTTTATCGTTAACTCGGTCTCCCTGGGTCTTTTCCCGTGTGTTATGAATAAATCTTTTTTTTTTTGGTACCGGTACAGGTTTTATTTTGTTGTATTTATCCGCGACACCTTCAGGCAATAAAATATTGTCTGAAAATATTGCCGGACATACACCGGTCCATGCCGCAAAAAAGGTTGGGGACCGCTGAGCTCGAGCATCTTTGAGACGAAAGCGTGTGGAAACCTTTTTCTAGCAGCACCAGCACTTTCGCCCACGTGGCAGATTTAGTGTTGTTATGCTGTTGCTGGTTATGCTATATATGCTGGACACGGTCAAATTATTTCTTTTTTTTCTCTGTGTTGTGTGTTTTTGTTCTGGTAGACAAAACATTTCTGCTAAAACCTTCGACCGTAACTAGTCCCCTCGCCAGAATTTCAGGAGAGAAATAGAAAAAAAAATCCAATGTTATTTCTAAACTCAGACTGCAAGCATTAAGTGTGTGAATATTTTCTGCGTCACACATTGTTAGAGAATAACAATAGCACAATAAAATCAAGGTTGATCTCTGTGTCAGCAGTGCTTTTCAAAAAATGGGGCACGTCATCAAAGTGTAAAATATGTGTTGAGTTGAACCAAAGTTCAGTTTCCTGATGCTATTGTATATAGTTTTTATTTAAGTTCAATTCAACTTGGATTGTCTTTTAACGTCACAAATGTTTAAAACATTGTGAAGTGTAGGGCACGAACCTTCTGAGGTCGGGGGGCTTGCCAGTAAAAGTTTGGTAATAAATACAGAGCAGTGTGACATCATCACCCCGAGTTTGATTACTGTTTTTTACATATTTCAAAAATGAAAAAAATAACCTCACAAAACAAAACTTTAATCTAGCCAATGTTTCTGTGGGTACGTGTCATCACTTGGTTGATGTGTAATCGTCAGTCACATTTCAGGATTTTAAAATTTTCCTTTAACAATTTTCAACTTTCATCTCCAGCCTTAAATTTGGTCAGTTTTTTCTTGCTTTAGTAATTTCAGCCAACCTTGACTATGACAACCCTCGTCTTAGTTTTAATGTATCCCTGCTGATGTGAGGTAAATGTTCGTTTTTTTTGTTTTCTCCAGTAGGTCAAAAACTGTCCTCCTCTTTTTACAGGATCCTCCAGTTCTTCCTGTCAGCCAGTTTAGCGAAAAGTTTGTTCACTTCATCACTCAATGGTGAGTTATTTGTTTAAATGACCCGTTTATAGAAATTGAAGCACTAGATTAATTATTTAAATAAAAGAGAAACTTTATGTGTATTCAACAGCTATTGACTGTGTAGTCCTTTAATTTGTAAATTTGGTTTGTACGATCTTTAAATGTTTGTCGTGGTCAAATATCGAAGGACTTTTTGTTTCATTCAGATTACTGTCGATGAATATGAAGTATAATGGTATAATAGCGTAATGGAAATAAACTGCATTAGTGTTAATGCGTTGTGGTTGAAATAGCTATTAGCTCTGTTCTCCTGTGTGTTTGAATAGAAAGCTTTTCTTTATTTATGAGGAGTGATTGATTTATCTAATGCGTGAGGACACAGAAAACGTTTACCCTGCATTTGCTTGTGATTAATTTGCCTCTTGTAACCTTTACAGTTAGACAAACATCTACATACACACCCTAACCACATGTGTGTATGTGTGTGTTCAGCACTCACAAGCTGATTATACCAGCTGCTGTTTGTCCCCGATGGGTGTTGCATTTACTTAAACAGGGCATTTCTCTCTCAGGACCGAGGTACTCCGCCCTGCCTGCGTTCAGTGGTGGTACTATCCTCTCCCAATCTGTTCCTGGATGTTCATAATGCTTTCAAAGCGATGCTTTAACAAGTTACCTGACTGCACACCTCACAGTATGAAGGACGCTTGCAGAAAAACACACAATACTCCCCATATCTGTCTGAAAGAAATGTACTGGGTTGTAAGGGAATTAAACTCTTTCTTTTAATTTCTGTAGAGCGAAGAGTTTAGTTTCAAGCCTCCCTCCTTTTTTAATATTCGTTTATAAATAAAATTAGGCATGAATTGTAAGTTAGAACTAAAAACCATCTCTTGGGCACTTAGAAACTCAGTTTTAATAGTGTCTGGCTTTAAGCTGTTGTATTTCTCTTTTCAGCATGAGGCGGAACCCCAAGGAGCGACCTGCACCCAATAACCTCATGGTAAGTTAAACCAAACCTCCTATTGAACACTTCCAAGGACTTCAAAAATATAGGTTTTGAATAAATGTGTACAGAGAATGATCATATTCATGCATTCCAATAAAAATTCAATTAAAGATAATTTTATTATCTTTGTAGCTTTTGGAATATGCAGTTGTATTTTCCGCAGTGATTGAGGTGTTTCAGGTCAAGGACCCTCCAACTTGGCATTGATGTGTGGAAACGGCAGTAATGAACTTTTTGCTTCGGATAAACAGTGTCAGAAAGAGGTCAGCCAGAAACCTTGAGGAAGGATTGAGACCTACTCCAGGAATAATTCATTCATTTCACTCCACTGGAGTCAGCATGAATAAATCAGGCTGTTGTTCAAGAGTCACATCATTCAGGTTCAAAATCAAGTTTTAAATTTGACCAGCTGACAAAAGAAAATTATTTTAGAAACTAAGTGTGTGTGTGTGTGTGTGTGTGTGTGTGT